GGAGAGTGAGGAGTCTAGAATAATATTGAGGGAGACTGAAGGTGATGGTGTTACCTTTGATAGAAATAGGGAAGTTTGGGAGAGTGGGGGAATTGGGGAAAACATGAGTTTGGTTTTACACTCATTGTTTTGGATGTCTCTAAGGCATCCAATTTAAAGTGTTTTTAGGCAATTGATGGCATGGGTGGGCACTTAATAAATGTTATTGAATGAATGTTATTGAATGAATGAATCTCAGGGGAGAGACTAGGGAGGCAGGTAGGTGGGGGTGAGGAACAGAGGGGGTAGAGAGAGAAAGAGAGAGAGAGAGAGAGAGAGAGAGAGAGAGAGAGAGAGAGAGAGAGAATGAGAACGAGAACCTAGGACAGAACCTTGGGGAATACTCATATTCAGGGGACATGACATGCATGATGATGAACTAACAAAGGAATTCTAAGTATTAGTGGTTAGACAGGTAGAGGGAAAATTAGGAGAGAAGTGCCATGAAAACTCAGTGAGGAGAGAGCATCTAGGATGAGAGGGTGGTCAACAGTGTCAAATATAGCAGATATGCTAATAAGGATGAGGATTGGGATAACACCATCATATCTGCCAATTGAAAGGTCATTAGTAACTTTGGAGAGAGGAGTTTCATTTGAGTGATAAGGTCAGAAGCCAGATTGCATAGGGTTGAGAAGAGGAGAGGACATGGAGGTAGCAAGTGTAGACCGATTTTTTCAAGATGTTTGGCTGAGAAAGGGCCATGGCATGAGGGCATGGAGGAGTCTAATAAAGGTTTCTAAGAATGGGGAAGACTTGGGCTTCTTTGAAGGCAGTAAGAAAAGAACCAGTTGTTAGGGAGACGTTGAAGATTCAAGGTGGGGGGAATGACTGAGGATGTAATATACTGGAGAAGATGAAAGACCAAATGCAAACATGAAAGGATTAACCATGGCAAGAAGGTCTACTTTTTTGTTAGGAACTTGGGGGAAGGAGGAGAGGATGGGAGATGATGTTGATGTGTTTTGAGATAAAGATAATGGGAGAAGAGAGAGCTCACATTGAGTAGCCTCAGTTTTCTCAGTAGAGTAGGAGGACTTGACTCAGTCAAGGCAGTAGTGAAAGACATGTGAGGCTTAAGGAAGGAAGAGGAATTTTGGAAAAGCTTCTTCTGAAGTGAGATAAGGAATCAATTAGGGAACAATGAAATAATAACTGCCTTGCTGCAGTGAAGACCCAGTTGAGGTTGGATAATACAAATTTGTAAGCACATTATTGCCAAATCCTGTGAGGTAACACAGGTATTATCTATTATCTTCAGGCAGGTTGGTGGTACAGTGGATAGTGTTGAGCCTGGAGCCAGGGAGACCTAAGTTCAGATAAGGAAATGGGCATAGAAAGGTTAAATAATTTACCTATGGTTACACAACAACTGAAGGTGGGATCTGAACTTACGTCTTCATGATTCCAAGGACAATACTATCTAAAAACTTTACACTATCCCTAATAGATTGCTCCTTTAGCCACAGAATGATCATTTAATTTAGCAAGGATTTATTTAGTACCCACTTTGTACAAACGACTATGTTAGATGCTGTGAGATACAAAGACAAGGTTTTAAAACAGCCCCTCACGTTCTATTGGGGAATGCTAGTATAACTATAGGCATTTCTCTCAGCCTAAGATAACAACCTTGTCCAGAACAAGGTAAATATATTTTGCCCTAGTCAGCCACATATGGAATGTTGTGGTTTTTTCCCCCCCGGGTGCTTAGAAAGGGCACATATAAACTGGAATCATGTAGAGGAGTTTGACCAGGATACTGAAAGTACTTAAAACCATGCCATAGAAAGATCCGTTACTAGAATTGGGGGTATTTAGTCTGAAAAATTGAAGACTGGGGTGGGGGTGGAGATACTATATCTGTCTTCAAGTATCATTTGGTAGAGGAATGAGAATTTCTTTGCTTGGCCTGTGAGGGCAGAGCTAAGAACACTGAATGGAAACTATAGAGTCAATTTAGGTTTGATATAAAGAGAAATTTCCTGACAATTAGAGCTCTCTAAAAGTAAAATGAGATGACTTGGTTGTGGTATATGAATGTAATGGAATACTATTGTGCTATAAGAAATGATGAGCAGGTGGACTTCAGAAAAACCTGGAAACACATGAACTGATGCTGAGCGAAGTGAGCAGAACTAGGAGAACATTGTACATAGTAATAGCAACATTGTGAGATGATCAATTGTGATAGACTTAGCTATTCTCAGCAATACAATGATCTTAGACAATTCCAAAAGACTCATGATGGAAAAATGCTATCCACACCCAGAGAAAGAACTATGGAATCTGAATGCAGATTGAAGCAGACTATTTTCACTTTTTTTGGTTTTCCTTTCTCGTGGTTTTCCCCTTTTGTTCTGATTCTTCTTTCACAACATGACTGATATGGAAATATGTTTAATATCATTGTGCATGTATAACCTATATCAGATTGCATGCTGTATTGGGGAGGGGGAGGAAAGGGAGTGAAGGAGAAAAAATTTGGAACTCAAAATCCTATAAAGGTGAATATTGACAACTACCTTTACATGTAATTGGAAAAAAATAAAATACTATTAACTGGAAAAAAAAAGCATTTATATTAAAAAAAAAAAGGAATGAGCTGCCTTGGGAGAAAATGGGTTTCTCCTCATTGAAGGTCTTTAAGTAGAGGCCTGATGTCCACTTGCTGGGGATTTTGTAGGGTAGTGGTCCTTAACCCTTTTTGTATCACGGGAGTCTGGTGAAGACTATGGAATCTTGTGTAGAATAATCGTTTTTAAATGCTTAAAATAAAATCAATGGAATTACAAAGAAAACCAATTATATTGATATTCAGTTGTCAACATTTATGTTTTAAAAGTTCACCGATCCCAGGTTAGCTCTGGGGCTCTCTGTGCAACTGCTGGTCAAGGCAAGTGGGTAAGTCATTTCCCGGGGAACACCCAAAAGGAGTTAAAGGAAGGACAGGAAACAGCTGTGACACAACTGATAAATGCCAAGATGTCTCACCCTGGGGTCAGGCTGGGACAAGGACTTTGAGCTCGCCTTCTTGGCATACTACTGCTCCTGGGGCCGCTCTGCTTTAGGACTGCGCTTGTGCCTGATGCACCCACCGATGGATGTTTATGTTTTCCCTCTGGTTTTGTTTCCCTCTTGCAGATTCTGTGTCTACTTTGGGGGCCCAGGTCGCGTGCATTTACCAGAGATGTAAGAAGTGCTAGTTACCCCTGTGGCCCCACAACAAGTTCTGCTTGGCTCCAGAGGACAGAATTGGGAGGACTCCGTGTAAATTGTAAAGAGAACTAAGGCTTGATTTAAGGAGCTTGTCCCTTAAATCTACTTGTCCCAAAGTAGAATAGTAGATTCCCTGGTTTTCAATGGAGGTTTTCGAACAGGGGCTGGATGACTACTCCTTTAATGTCACAGATCTGAGGTGCATCTTCTGAGATCCTTTCCAGCTCTGACATTTTTTCATTGTACAAAAAGTGAAGGGAGAATGAAATGACTGGCCACCCTTATAACTTGAGGATCCTTGACTGGCCAAGAGGTTTATGGCTTCAAGTAAGAGGAAGCATAGGGAACACAGATCTAAAGCTGGAATACCGTCTAATCCAGGTCCCTCATTTTACAGATTGAGGGGATCAGAGCAAATGTTTAGTCCTCCATGTTGTTGCTCATGTAAACTAAAGTCCTTACTCTACAGATGAGGGTACTGAGGTCCAGGGACATTAAGTGACTTTCCTATGGTCACACAGACTGTAAGCATCAGGTGTGGGATTTGAACCCAGGTCCTCTGATTCCACGACCAGAAATCTTTCTATTGTACCAGGCTCTCTTAGTCTCTCCTACAGTCTTCAAACTAAGCAGTTGGCCCATGGCCACTTGCGGCTCAAGGCAGCTGGCTGGGACTGAAGGCCAATTCCAAGTTCTTCAAGAACTGTTAATAGTTGAATTGAAGCCAGAAAAGGAAAAGGGGAAAGGGAAGGCAAGAGGAGATCTCAGAGCAGAGCTGAGTTCAGGCCCTAAGTATTGTGTGGAAACCAACTGAGCCACACGCTGTCAGCCTCTTTCTAAAACAGCTAGAGCGAGTCCTATAGAAACTTCCCATCCGAGAATAAACCCTGAAAATCCTCTGCCTTGTAATTCCTACACTGCAGCCACTCTTTCAAAAAAGCTCTCTACTGTTTGCATCTCAAAATCCTTCTCCCTTCATTGGCCCTCTCAAATGTCTTCAGAGTCAGCTGGGTGGCTCAGTAGATAGAGCACTGGGCTTGGAGTCAGGAAGAACCAAGTCCAAATTTGGCCTCAGACACTAGCTGTGTGTGACCATGGGAAAAAATCAAACTTAACCTCCCTGCCGCAGTTTCTTCAACTGTAAAATCAGGATAATAATAGCATTCTACTTCATAGGATTGTTATGAGCATCAAATGAGGTAACATTTGTAGAAGTATTTAGCACAGTGTCAGACACATAGTAGGCACTTAATAAATACCCCTCTCCTTCCCTTTCTTTTTCTCTTCCCTTTCCAACTATACATTGTAATTCTGAATCTGGCCACTAACACCACAGACAGAATCTTGTGGGGCGTCTGAATGTGTGACTGCTTATTTCACTGCCTCTTGATCTCTCATTGTTATCTAAGTCCCCACATTTTTCTTTGGTTTATACCAATGATTTCATCATTGTAGGGTGGGGGTTTTTAACTTGGGGTCTGTGGAAAAATTTCAGGGAATCCATGAGCTTGGATGGAAGAAAAAAATGCTGTTTTGTTTTTACTAATCTGTAAATAAAATTTAGCAATTCTTTTATTTAAAATTATTCCAAGAAAGAATGGATTGTATGTCCGTATGTTTTATATTATGTGTCCATGACACAAAAACAAGTAAGAACCTCTGGGGTAGGGAATTGCTTTGTGGAAAGTCCCTTTGCTCATGCAGATAACAACAACAAAAACAAGTTTCTTAGAGCATGAAGAGCTTACAAGGTGCAAAGGCTGCAAAAGACCAAATGAAAAACAGTTACCTGCTTTCAAGGAATTTATACTCTACTGAGATTATACAAAAAGGTAAAATGATGATAGATAAGGAGATGAGTAGTAGATCTGAGCAGTTTCAGAGCTGTAACAACCAGGGGGATTTGGAAAGGTTTCCAGGGAAGTTAGGGATTCTAAGTGGTCTGGGTACAAAGACAGCATAGCTGTCTCTAGCCCCAGGGAATATATGGTCTACTATTAGTGTAGGATAGTGTGGAGCAGAGAGAAACTAGAGGTAGGAGGGTCCTCTATAGCTTTGGGCTGGGGCTGCTTGGGGAGAGTGGAGTGGGAAATGGGGGAAGGCAGTGGGTTTCCAGTCATTGGAGGTCTTTAAGCAAAGACTATTTGTTAGTATTTTGTAATAGGGCTGCTAGGTGGTGCAGTGGCTAGAGTGCCAGGCCTGGAGTCAGGAAGACTCAATTTCTCGAGTTCAAATCTGGCCTCATATACTTTACTAGTTGTGTGACCCTGGGCAAGTCACTTGACCCTGTTTACCTCAGTTTCCTTATCTGTAAAGTGAGCTGGAGAAGGAAATGGCAAACTACTCCAGTATCTTTGCAAAGAGTCAGATATGATTTTTTAAAAATTTTATTTTATTTTATTTTATTTTATTTATTTATTTTTTGGCTAGGCAATGGGGTTAATTGACTTGCCCAGAGTCACACAGCTAGTAAGCGTTATGTGTCTGAGGCCATATTTGAACTAAGGTACTTCTGAATCCAGGGCCGGTGCTCTTTCCACAGCACCACCTAGCTGCCCCCCAGATATGACTTTTTTTAAAGACTGAAGCAGGGATTCTTTTTCTTTTTTAGGTCAAGGCTTTTCAGAGATGGATCAGTCTGACATCCTTTTCAGTTCTGAAATTCTGGAGATATCATAAGTAAAACATAGGTAAGTACCAACGTTTTGTTTTCTTGAGGAATACTAAGCTGACCAGAGAGCAGAATGAATGCATCTCTGTCTTGAACAGGAAAAGTTAAAACTTAAGAGAGATGAAGAACAGATTCCCCCCTACTTTCCTTTTTCTTGCCTTGGAGATGCAAAGGACACTAGTATAAATGCCAAGTATCTCCACGGCATTTCTTAGCCAAGAGTGAGTGCTGAAGGCTCCGCTTGGCTTTTATGATCTTGACATTTAACATTGTTTTTGTTTCTTCTTTTTATAAAAAAAAAATCATTTTCTCCATTCTCCATTCCCTTCTCCCTTCCCCCCATAGTTGTGGAAGAAATAGGACACTGGCTATTTCCAAAGTCAACACTCATTAAGCTTTAGTATGCTTATGGTATAAGTTTCTTTATACATATGCAAGGAGACAATTTAATTCAACCCCACAAACATTCAGCAACTGCCTACCCAGGTGCAGGGTATATGCACAAATCCCTAAACTCATCTTTACCTATATATGTAGCTATATGTAGTATATGACCTACACTCTTTGACTCCAAAATTTGCTGGCATCCAAATGCACCAAGGCAAAGATCTTATATAGAGTTTCTTCCAAATCGAATGATTTTATAAACCTCTGATCATTGCAGGGTCTAAGGTCAACTCCACCCAACCAGTGAACTCTTGAAAGCCCAAAGATCTGGGAAGAGCCAACTGCAACTAGCCACCTCTCCACCCCTACGGATTATCACAAATATAAATGTAATTAATTCAGAACACATGTTGTATGCCATAGTATATTTGTTTGCTCTAGCTATTTGAATATTCTTGGGAGGCTGGGCTCCAAATCCATGTGAATTTCTTTGTTTCATTATTGCTTTGGGTTGGAATCTGCCTCCAAATGCTTACAGAATAGAATGATAGTTGAATTTAAGAAAACCTAGGATGTTTTTCCTTACCTTTTTCCATCCTAGTGATAAGGATGATATGTATCTGATGGCAGTGACCATTGGCAGCTGGGAAAATATAGTGTCCTGCCAAAATCATGGAGTTTTACATGAATACACTAAAGTTGTATGTTTTCATAAGCATAGGGGCCTCTATGACCTATGACCTATGTCTATCACAACCTGTCTGAGGCACAGAAAGGCTAAGTGATTTACTTGGGATCACAAAATAAATATTAGTAGGGTCTCTTTATCTGTTATATATGAATGCCTTCTTCTTATTTTTATTAATACATTAATTTTCCTCAAACCAATTAGGATCAGTTTGATTTTTTTGAGGACTTAAACCTTTGAGATTTCTAAGTTCTCCCTAGATACTTTAGGAGGAAAAACAGAATTTCGCATCCTATGTGATAGTAATTCAATAATAATAGCTTGCATTGATATAGCACCTACTATGTGCTAGGCACTGTGCTAAATGCTTTACAAATATTGTCACATTTGTGTTATACATTGTGCTATGTGCTACACATTAAAAGTTCAGGAAACTTTTTATTTTCTCACTGAAAGATACCATAGGTGATAGAAGCCCTGTTCTTCTCTTCCTTTGCCTCTGCTATGATCAAAGTGAATTTACTACTGATAGGCAGGGTCAAACAGATTAGGTTGGTGGGATTTAGGGCATGCCACTGAACACTCCCTCAGAAATATCATCCTCATCTTCCTGCCACAGAGCCTGAAATTCTACCGTTGAGATTTATTTCTTTTGGGATGAATTATACAAGGTAAAACAAATAACCTTGAGGAGTCAGTGTATTAAGACATTATAGGACAAAGAAATTAAAAGAAAATCGGCTGCATTTTGCATTAATTTTGGACCAAAGTTATGGTTCTAGTCGTAGGTAGTGCTGAGATAGGTAAGATGAGGATGCCAGTTGGTATAGGTGGTTGTATGTGAAAAAAACAAAACAACTATAACTACAGAGTGGTAAATGAGACTTTGAACCAGGACACTGATTTTGGATAACTTCAAGAGTCCTTCAGCAACCTTGAGATAAAGAGTTTAGCCCTTGGTTAGCAATAATATTTAGTGGATTGGGATAAATCTACCTTAGCCAGCTTCATACCTTCTCTTCTTCTTCCTCAAAGACGGTACCCTTCATGTTGCTTGGCTGGGGGCATGGTTTATGGGATTACTTGCTACAAAAATTCCTAGTTATACCTTTGGGTTTATACCAGGAACAATTGTATGTTATGTGAATAGCAAATAGTCTTCCATCTTCAATTTACTCTTCTGTTTCAACTGCATGGATTCTGGGCCCAGGTCTTAGCAGAATTGAAGGGATTTTGCTTGGGCAAGTGAAAAGACAGACCCCCTCTTTTTCTACCCCTACCTGGATTTGTTTTAAGTTTCTAAGCCCAAGCTCTGAAATCTGAATTCTGTTCTCACTTTCTAGAGCCTGTAATATTATATATTTAGTTCTATTAAAGCATGTGGAAAGGATTATTCTTCTAACAGTATGAGATGTGCTCATTTCCAGAACTTTACCACTGAGAAGCATTTCCTATTTGGGTTACTTCAGCAGGTAGCCAGCCTCCAAATGAAACCACTAGGGTCTAAAGTTCCATTCCTGCCTCATTACCATTGCATGAACCTAAGGTCTTGAGAAGAATGGCTGTCTCTATAGAAAGTGATTATAAGATAAATATCTTGGAAGTCACATCTATTAGAGATGGAAAATAAAAATATTACATTTTCAAGTTGGCTCCCTTGCAAGAGGAAGCAGCACTAACAGCTTCCCAACTGGTTTGATAACTACATCAGAGACGTAAAAAAAAAAATCAAAGAGGTTGTTAGATAGAATGAGCCTGTAAAGTGCCATCTTAAAAAAAAGAATCCTTTCTCCAGAGAAAAGCTAAAGTTTGTACATGCAGCAAATAAGCCATGGTGGACAGAATACTGGACTCAGAGTCAGGAAAAGCTGAGTTTGAAACTTGTCTCTAATACTTACTAGCTATGGGATTATGATCTAGACACTAAACCTCCCCAAACCTGATTCCTCATTTATCAAATGGGGACAATATGACCTGTAGTACATACCTCACAGATTTGTTATAAGGATCCAGCAAGCAAGGAAATTAAAGTGCTTTGTGAATCTCAAAGCATTATTTAAATGTAAGCTATTATTATTATTGAGAAAATTGTTTTTTTCAGGAACCTTAGCTTAAAGCTATATAGGACAATGTCGCACAGTTAGATGGTTTCTCCAAAGAAGGCCTTACAAAAACCCAGACTTTCCGTTGGATTGGGGTAAACTGGTAAGTTTAGGCAATTTTCATGAATAACAATGACACTTGAGCAAGGGTTAACAGATGGGCAGGCCAAGTGTTGCACTGGCATTGAAAACTCTTCACGACCTGGCCCCTCCTACTTTTCTAGTCTTCTTTCTTATACTATTACTTTCTTCTCTCCACATATTCTATGGTCTTTGAGTATTTTTGCTTGTTGGGTATATTGTTGTGTTTTGTTGTTATTGTTGGTTGACTCATTTTGGGGGTAAAGATAGAGAAAGAGAAGGAAGGTAGGCATGTTGGACCATTCTGCTTCACAGTCCTACCAAGTTGGTTCTCCTTAACATAGATAGGCCATTAAAGAGGTCTTCCTACGTTTGACAACCAGGTCCAACATACCCCTTCAGAAGATTTCTCTCTGTAAAAGATCAGCACTAGTTTTTAGCTTTATTACTTAGACAATAAGCCGGGGGTTCTTAACCTGGGGTCCGTAAACTTGCATTTTTAATATTTTAATAGTTGTATTTTGATACAAGTGGTTTCCTTTGTAGTCTCAGGTTTTTTATTTTATACATTTAAAGACATTATCCTGAGAAAGGACCCATTGGTTTTACCAGACTACCAAAGGGGTCCATAATGCAAAAAAAGTGTCAGTAAATCATTACTACAGTAATCAGTAATGACTGCAGTAATTTATTAACGAGGTAAATCAATATAGTTGGAATTAGTAAATCATTAATTAGTGAAAAGCTATTGTATTCAGCATTGAGTGGTATTTCAGAGGGAGGGGAAAACCTGATCCCAGCTCCTACAAAATTGAAATCTAATAGAGAAAGGAAAGAAAAACCCTTATAAAATTTCTCATTGTATCATGACTGGACCTCTCTCCTTTGTACTCATCCTATTCTATCCTGATTTTTTTTTTTGCTTAGGCAGTTGGGGTTAAGTGACTTGCCCAGGGTCACACAGCTAGTAAGTGTCAAGTGTTTGGTCTGAGGCCAGATTTGAACTCAGGTCCTCCTGACTTCAGGACCAGTGCTCTATCCACTGTGCCACCTAGCTGCCCCTGTCTATCTATTCCGAAGAAATCTTCGTATTTGGAACATATGCTCTGAGGCTACTATTCTAAATCTCCATATAAACCGTTACTGGTGGGTCCCCAGAATGTGGAAGGCTTCTCTCCTCGGGTCTCTAGAGGAGTCTGAGGAATTGGAGTGGGGTTTCTAGTACCATAACTTAAGAGCCCCCACTGGTATGCTTTCTCAAATGATTAACAGTTGATATCAATTAGCCAGCCAGATTTAGTTAGCTTTTAGAAATGGGTATTTACTAACATGACATAATATGAAGAGCTGATACAAAATCTCTCACCTAAACCAAGAGGCACACTCTCTTACAAGTACATAAAGAGTCCAGGGGGAAGTGGGCTCAGCTTTAGAGAGCACAGTGGCAGAGGAGATAACTCACAGCTTCTAAGACTCCTTTTGCTGGGAGTCCTTTTCCCCTCTTTTTGGGGCCCTCATGAAGACATGGAGTAGCTTTCTGGTCTGCTTTTTGTATAGTCCTCAAAATACCTTTGCTTAGTATGTCTAGTTTGTCCTCAGCTCCAGATGTAGACAGTACCTCCAAATATTGTTATTTTTGAGACACTCATGATGCCAAGGAGTAGTCCAAATATTCCAGACCTTAAAGACTTCCTCTGGGTAGTGAGGTGGTGCATGAATAGACTTCTGGGCCTGGAGTCAGAAAGACTAAATTTCCTGAGTTCATCTGGCCTCAGACTCTTACTAGCTGTGTGACCTTGGGTAAGTCACTTAACCCTGTTTGCCTCAGTTCCTCATCTGTAAAATGAGCTGGAGAAGGAAATAGGAAGCCACTCCAGTATCTTTACCAAGAAAACCCCAAATGAGATCACACAGAATGGGGCATGACTGAAACAACTGAACAGAGGAGACAGAAGCTCTTTGCCTTCCCTCCCAACTTATTCCTTATCAAAGGCTTTGCTAAAACTCATCTAGGGCCTCACTAATGGAATGCCAGAATTGCAAACACCTTGCTCTTTATACAAACCTCTCGACTGGCTGTGATGAAATCTCCTCATCCAATCCCAACACAATTCTTGTGTAAAATCATTTCATTTCATCCAATTGCTGGAAGCATTTTACTGCTTCCTAACTTGACTAACAAGGCTGTTCACACTTAATTCATTGCCCTTTGATTGATTGCTTCAACAGATATGTCCTCATAGGATAAAATTATCAGGACACAGCATCTTATTAATCACTTCAGTTGGGTGGAGGGTGATTGAGTGATTCAACCCACTTCCACCTTACATACATATTTTCCTTTTGAGCACCTTGACAACAGGGTCTGTGCCACAGCTGTCTTTGTATCCCTGAGCCTAACATTGTGCTTTGCATATAGTTGAACTTAGTAAACTTTTAATAAAAAAAACATAAATTAAGCTACATAACACTTCTGGAAACATAAATTTGTTGTGGAAGAGAGGTCTAGGTAAAAGACATGGAATTTGGAGTCAAGATTTAGATTTGAATCCCAACTCTGCTTTTTATTTTGGTGGTTTTGAGAAAGCCATTTTTCCCTCTCTGGTCCTCAGTTTCCTCATTTGTGAAATGAGGGAGCTTGATAAGATAATTTTGAAGACTCTTTCCATGTCTAATTCCTGTGATCTCCTCTGGCATATTAGAAGGCAAGTTCCTTGAAAGTAGGTATTGTTCCATTACTCGTATTTATGTCCTCAGGGCCTAGGACAGTGCCGGGAACACATTAGGTGCTTAATAAATCCTTATTTGACTTGTTGATTGGCAGCCTTTTGGTAAAGGATATTTTCTTTCAGGACTCAGAAACGTGAGTTGAGAAGCCAGTCTCAAGCCACCATAAGGGGCTACAGCATTTTTGCACACAGCTATTCTTACTTTAATTCAACAAACATTTATAGTTCCTAACATGTGCAAGACGCTGTACAAGACAAAGGCAATACAGACACAAAATGGATCGTAGATTTGGAAATAGTCCTAGCCTTCATGGAGATTATCTTAAAGGGGGAGGGATGTAATATGTACACAAGTAATTTAATACAAAGGGGAGAGGGAGCAAAAGAGAGAGGGAGGGAGGGAGGGAGGGAGGGGGAGAGAGAGAGACAGAGACAGAGAGAGAGAGAGAGAAAGAGAGAGAGAGAATAACTATAAGAACCAGAATGAAAATGAATATGCTAGTAACAGGGATCAGGAAGGGCCTTTTGTAGGAGATAGATCCTGCATATTGAAGAGTGGTAGGCTTTCTAAGAGGCAGAGTTGAAGATGGATTACACTTTCAGAAGAAAAATGTTTCTTCCCAGGAATTGGAAAACTTTCAGAAGATTCAAGGAGATTTCTGGTGAATCTAGATAAACTGGAAAGTCCGATATATAAACATAACAACTTTAATAAAATGTGACCCAGAAAATGAAAAAATGACAAAACAACCAGGAGGTGCTTACTAGCAGTTACAGAAGGGGTCTCTTGGGGGGCAACTTCAAATAGCAAAACTCCCCAAATAAGTGCATTTGCTTACAGATCATTGGAGAAATTTAAAACTAAAATATTAGGGGTTATTCTTAGTTTAAGAGGCATCATAAATTAAGGGAAAGCAACTCTGCAGTTATGGACTCAAGAAAATATGATTAAAGTTTGATTGCGTAAAGTTGGGCTAGGGGAGAGTAATGGTGATAACTTTATTTTCTTGTAGCGTGTATTAGATAACTTTGGTGGGACAAAGATAGACAACTACTTCTGACTTATTCCTTAGTATATCTGATACAACTTGACTTATGTATTGGGAAATGATCTTCAAACAAGATTCACAAGGACATATTCATCCTATGGATGACCATCAGACTAATTTTCATAAGATACTGTGATCATTGAAGCACTTTTGCCCTCAAAAGTCTTCAGTTGCTCTCTCATTGCCTATCGGATTAAGGCAGCACATTGGATAGGGCTCTGAATTTAGAGTCAAGAAGACATGAGTTCAAATTTGACCTTAGACACTTATTGGCTATGCAATCCTGAGCAAGTCACTTGACCTCTCTGTGCCTTAGTTTCCTCATCTATAAAATGGGGATGATAACAGTATCTACTTCCCAGGGTTGTTGAGAGGATCAAATGAGATAATATTAGTAAAGTGTTTTGCAAACTTTAAAGTGTTATATAAATGCTGACTATTATCACTAAGTTCAACCTCTTTTGCCTAGAATTAAAAGCTATCTCTAATCTGGTCTCAACTTCCACCAGATTTGGAATTCAGGTCAGTTTGAATTGACATTCTGCATGACTCTGAGGAGATCAGTTAAGTGTCTGTGCCTCAATTTCCTCATCTGTTACATGATGGAGTTAGACTGGGTAGCTTCTAAGGCCTCTTCCAGTTCTAAATTTATTATCCTGTGATCCTGCCTTTCTAACTTTATCTTACACTGCTCCTTATAAGCCCTCTGCTCCAACCAAAGTGGGCTATTTATTCTTCATTGTCCCCAGAGTATTTAAAAAAAAATTTTTTTTAGGCAATTGTGGTTAAGTGACTTGCCCAGGGTCACACAGCTAGTAAGTTCTAGTGTTTGGTCTGAGGCTAGATTTGAACTCAGGTCCCCCTGACTTCAGGGCCAGTGCTCTATCCCCTGCGCCACCTAGCTGCTCCTCAGAGTATTTTTATACCTCTATATTTTTCCTCACACATAATAATTCATTATTCTACCTTTCTTTCTCAGCTATGAAGATCCAAATTCTATCCATTCTTTAAAACTCAGCTTGTGTTCCCTGACTTGATGAAGCCTTCCCAAATACTAGTTCAATGTGATCTCTTTCTTCTCTGTATTATACATATAACTAAGGTGGGGTGACTGGAATTTTGTCTCAAGGTGCTAGTAGTGTGTGTGTGTGTGTGTGTGTGTGTGTGTGTGTGTGTGTGTGTATGTGCTGGATGGATATGATTCTTTTATATGGCAGTCTGGAGACATCCACCAGCCTGCCAAC